ACCCTGTCTCTACAAAAAACACAAAAATTAGCAGGGCATCCACTGAGGCCGAGGTGGGAGGATCGCTTGAGCCTGGGAGACAGAGGTTGCAGTGAGCGGAGATTGCACCACCTGGGCAACAAAGAGACTGTTGTCTCAAAAAAAAAAACGAAGTGGGTCTATCTATTGTGGCAGTTTTAAGAGAAAAGGATGTGTGTGCAGGGGTTCCTCTGGAGTAGCCACCTAGAACAGCCGGCAATGTGTCTCCTCACTTCCACCAGCCCCTTCCACACTTGGTGCTCTACAGACATGCCTGTTTCACAATCCCGTTGGCAGGTAAATGAGCACCAGCAATGCAGTTACCCAATCTTATGGGATTGAAATGTTGCCTTATTGTTGCTTTTTCTTTTTCTTGATTACTTGTGAGATGAAGTATCTTTTGTATTTGCTAGCCGTTCTTGTTTTCTCTTCTATAAAGTGCCCGTTCATATCCCATTCATACCGTTTGTCTTTCTCTTATTAACTTAAAATTTTTTTATATTTGGTTTCACCTCTTTTGTCAATTCTATGCAATTCTACTTCTAGACACCTAACTTTTTTTTATTACTTTATTTATTTGTTTATTTTGAGATGGAGTCTCACTCTCACTCTATTTCCCAGGCTGGAGTGCAGTGGTGCGATCTCTGCTGTCTGCAACCTCTGCCTCTTGGGTTCAAGGGATTCTCCTGCCTCGGCCTCCCAAGTAGCTGGGGCTATAGGCACCCGCCAACACGCCTGGCTATTTTTTGTTTTCATTTATTTATTTATTTTTGTAGACACCTACCCTAAGGGAAAAAAGCTTTTGCACATGTACATAAGGAATCACAAAAGGATCTTCAGTTGAGCACTGTTTATATAACAGGGAAAAAGTGGAAACAAACGACCTCTTCCTCAGAAGGGGAATAGATATCAGTGGTTACCATATAGCAGCTAAAATCAATGAGCTACATCTATAAACACAACATGGATACATCTCAAAGCAGATGCTGAGTGTAAGGAAAAATATCAATCTGTAAAAGGATATGAAAAGAAGGGATATGCAGAGCATAGCACCATTTAATCAACTTTTACCTCCTGGATATTTTTAAATCAGTCAGTCTCCATCCAACTAACCACCTGACGTGTGAACCTAATATTCTCTCACCAGGACAACTATCACAGCCTTCTAATGGGTCCCCCTGTTTCCAAAGTTGTCTCATTCCAATCTGTCCATCACACAGCCATTACAGGATCTATCTAAAATATAAACCCTTCACTGCATCACCCACAGGATAAAGTTAAGACCTTTTTATGATCTGATTTCCTGCACACCTCTCCAGCCTCAACTCTTGCCACTCCCTATCTATACTTCACACATACTCAATTTTCTAACTCAATTGTATTTTGGCACTCTCTCCCTGATTTGCACTAAAGAGTACTAAGAAACACTAAGCCTCCCCTCCCACAATTCCTTTCTCTTTTCTGATCACTAGGAGTCTTTCTCTCCTAAGTCATTTTTAATTAAGAACACATTTCCAACACCAAATGGTCAATATACAATCCAACAGGTGACTTAAACATTGCAAGATGGTTTAGTGTGTCATGAGATTGTACCAAAAAAACCCTGCCTATACTTTTTTTTAAAATGTATTTGAGGCCGGGTGCGGTGGCTCAAGCCTGTAATCCCAGCACTTTGGGAGGCCGAGGCGGGTGGATCACGAGGTTAAGAGATCGAGACCATCCTGGTCAACATGGTGAAACCCCGTCTCTACTAAAAACACAAAAAATTAGCTGGGCATGGTGGTGCGTGCCTGTAATCCCAGTTACTCAGGAGGCTGAGGTAGGAGAATTGCCTGAACCCAGGAGGCGGAGGTTGCGGTGAGCCGAGATTGCGCCATTGCACTCCAGCCTGGGTAACATGAGTGAAACTCCGTCTCAAAAAAAAAAAAAAAAAGTATTTGAGATGGAGTCTTGCTCTGTTGCCCAGGCTGAAATGCAATGGTGCAATCTCAGCTCACTGTAGCCTCCTCCTGGGTTCAAGCAATTCTTCCGTCTCAGCCTCCCAAGTAGCTGGGACTAGCGGTGCACACCACCACACCTGGCTAACTGTTGTATTTTTAGTAGAGATGGGGTTTCACCATATTGGTCAGGCTGGTCTTGAACTCCTGACCTGAGGTGATCCATCCACCTTGGCCTCCCAAAGTGCTGGGATTACAGGTGTGAGCCACTGTGTCCAGCCCCTGCTTATACTTTTGATTCAAACATAACTCAAATATGGTTCTTGTTAACTGAACCATGTGATGAGTATTTGTATTTATACTTTGAGGGTAATTGTTTCTTTATGCTTTGGAATTAACTATGTCTACATCATTCCAACAGCTGAAATACTGTAATGAATACATTTGTGCATAATTACATTCCATGTGTTAATGAGCTCAATTTGCTTTCCCCTCCATACTTCTAAAGTTCCTTTCTGTTTCAGAAAGGTTGTGGAAGTAAACAAATTGAATATAACGGAAGGAACCAGTATCACTTACTGAAAAACTTAGATAAACACGATCATATAAAGGAAATTAGCCTTTAGTGAAAGGCAGTGCTTGCTACCCAAAGACTTCCCTCATGCCAGACAGTGAAAAGGCAAGGGCAAAGTGCTAACTTAGGCAGCCTGGACACCAGGGTTCCCATCCCAGCTCTACCCATTCTGTTTGGCCTGAAATCCTCTCCATCGAGAAGTAGGCTATAAATTTCACAAAAATAGACTTAACTAAAAGTACTGTGAGTTTGGACAAATCACAAATCCTTTCTGAGCCTTAAATTCCTCATCTGCAAAACAGGCATAATACTCTCAAACCTTAGCTTCCAGAAAGGTTACACTGAGTTTCATACAAAATATTCATTTGAATTGCTTTGCTAAAACCATAAAACACTATGGGCATGTAAGATCTTATTAATAATTAATGAGATATCCTTTTAATATGTACCAGCAGTCCTAGAAACTGGAAGCATGACAGAGTAAGCCTTAGTTTCCCAAATGAAGACTTTAAGCCATAGATTACCTTTATTTGTAAGATCCTTAAAATTTACACCAGAAAAAAGTTAGAACATCCTCCTCCATGTGAGCCACATATGTTGTCTGTGAATCACTTTCATCTCCAAATTAGTAGGATCCAAATTAGCAGGGCTTTCCTACAGTGAAATCTGTTTAAGCAAACATCTGCTGGTTCCCTGAAAAGGGATTTTTTTTTTCTACAGGTGGCCTTTGAATTTGTGGCCCAAAATCCATGGAAAGAAAATGTAGCCTTTGAGATGGAAGCCCTTCAAAGAGAGGTAGTGTCCTTGAGAGCCTGGGTCTCCCCTCGCCGGGGAGAAAGCTTGCGAAAAGAAACCAGGAAGTGCTCGGATTTAATCAAAGTACCAATGACCGCTTCATCACTGTCAGGGCGATACTGATTGAAAGGACGTATTTTTCCTGTTACTAAAATTCTTGATCAAAGCATAAAAGGAAGCATATGTTTTAGTTGAATGACGGCCCATTTTCTGTTTTCTCAATTACTTACTTTTCAGGGAAGTAGAATATTGGACACACAAAATGCAATCCTAAAGCCATGAATTCTGCCTTTCTGCCCTTAGCTTTACCCAAGATTTTGTGAATGACCTTGGGCAAATCACTGAGAGCAGATACTTGCTTTAGTGCCTGCAACAACGAGATGGTCAACAACTTCCACTGTTCCTCCCACCCCGGGCCTAGTGAATACTCAGCAAATGTTACGTGAGCCATCAAATGATTAAGTTGACTCTGGTGCCTCTATTGGCCTGACCAGCATGTATAGCCCTTTTTACCCTGCAAATGACACAGTTCCTTCCTAGCTTTGATCTGAAATTGCATTAAGCTACCCCAAAAACTGAGCTAAGAGTATTTTATTAATTTTCCTAACCTTATAGGGAAATGGCTTCATGAACACCTATAATTAAAAAGAAAAGTAAGTGAAAAAATTATGTTTTAAAATCACACAAGTAAGGCCAGGCATGGTGGCTCACACCTGTAATACCAGCACTTCGGGAGGCCAAGGTGGAAGGATCACTTAAGCTCAGGAGTTCGAGACCAGCCTGGGCAACATAGTGAGATCTCGTCTCTATAAAAATAGAAATAAAAAATAGATAAAATAAAATCACAGAAGTAATCTAAGTGTCCCAATTCTGGGGACAACATCTTGTGTTCTGGTGAAAAGCAGGGAGCAGGGGAACCAAGATAAGGTGATATATGACTGAAGTAAGAAATATGAGGGACAGGAAACATCCTGGCTGACCCTCTCATTGGTCTTGTCAAAAAAAAAGGTCTCTAGTGATTTAACGGAAGTAAACGATTTTGAGCTAACCAGACAGCTCAACTGGGCCCGGTAGGCCGCAGCACCGCAGTGCTCAGTCACATGGACAGCTAGCATATCAGGCAGGGGCAGATGAAGCAGGGCATTCTCTGAGGGTATAGCGTAGTGTCCACACACAGGGTAGCTGGTTCTCAAATGAGTTTGGATGAGGACCTGGGCCTTTCTGACTAAAAGGCCATGTCTGACTAAAATTGGAGACTATAAATTCATTTCTTCCTGGCTAATAAAAAGGTTGTACCACCTGGTTGAGTTTATGGTTTAAAAAAAAAAAAGAAAAAAGTTTGTCCAGTAAATGTCATAAACCGCATATGCATAATGAGAGACATAGAAAATTCATCTGTCTGAATAAATTTTCTTAGAATGAATTCTAATTAATTAGAATGATACTTATAATTTGTGCACAGGGGATACACACAGACACACACACACACACATACACGATTATATAAACACTGGAACAGCGACAGTGGTTCTCCCAAGTCCACAAGTACCATAACATCTCACTTTCTGGGGCAAGTCTCTCTGAAGCACAGAAAACCCAAAGAAAGAGAAGATAGGAGTGATCCCATGACCCAAATTAACCCCCAGGAAGAATACATTTCTCTTCTTTGGGCCTACCTTGGCCTGGACGGCGTAAGAAGCCAGGAGCACAGAAGCCTCGGGAGGGCAGTAGATCTTTTCATCTAAAATCTGCTTCTTTACCTGAAAGGACCAACAAGGGAGATATGATCCTGTGTGTGTGGAAGTGAGGTGTGTAGGCTGATCACAACAGACAGCTGCAGGGCGTTCTAATGAGGGCTGCCAGAGCAGCCTGTTCATGATTTTCTGACAAAGAGTACAATTTTTTTTTTACTGATGCGGACAGGTGGAGAGTTCAGTCACAGTAGTTACTGGTATGATGGCTACGCATAAAAACCCCTTATCCCTTCTCTTCATGACCAATGCTGAAGAGTAAAAACAGTCTCTGTAGTTACAATAGAGGCTGACATCTGGGCTATAACAGAGCGCCATGAACCCAAGAAGTGTCAAGAGTAGCTCTGGGGGTGACTACAGCCTCGGCCCCTTTGAATACACACAGCCCCAGAGGAAATGGATTTACTTTTAAGTATTAACACAAGACAAAAGTCACCAAGGCTACTGAGTTATGACTGCAGAAAAAAACCATCACTTTCAGTGTGCTGCTCTAAGGGAAAAGGAAGCAATAAAATTTGATCGATTCAACTTTTAAGCACACGTGAGGTCCAGGAAATATAATTCTTAAGCCATAATGTTGAATTAACATATTTCATTGCACTTAATTTTCTTAGAATGGTGCAACTTGGGATGTTCCAGACATAGACGCAAGAGAACTGAATGATGTGGGGGGCACTGAAATAAACACAACAGGAAAGCCAGCTCTCCTCTCACAGATGTCAACAGTCACTAAATTCATAAAAGCGGTAAATTTTGCCTTGCTCAGTCATAAAAATGCCTTCACATTTCAGTATAGGGGAAAATCAAGCCAAAGTCACACAAGAGACAGGCAGTGCTTCCAAGAAAGCCATTTCTATAACATTAGGGCGTTCTGGGACCTAGGAATCTTTATGTGCTTTCATTCAAACATAAAAATTCTTCTCAGGTTTTAAAAGTGATTTTACATTCTTTAAAGAGAAAACAAAACCTGAGATGTTTCTGAAGCAGTGCAACTTTCTAATCCCTTGGTTTCATTTCCAAAGAGAAGGGGGAAAGAGCAACACTATAGAAAAACTGAAAAAGCATCCCCCCACTTTTGTTTTTTGAGACAGAGTTGTGCTCTTGTTGCCCAGGCTGGGGTGCAATGGCGCAATCTTGGCCCACCACAACCTCCACCATCCGGGTTCAAGCAATTCTCCTGCCTCAGCCTCCCAAGTAGCTGGGATTATAGGCATGCGCCACCAAGTCTGGATAATTTTTGTATTTTTAGTAGAGATGGGGTTTCTCCATGTTGGTCAGGCTGGTCTAAAACTCCCAACCTCAGGTGATCCGCCCACCTCAGCCTCCCAAAGTGCTGCGATTACAGGTGTGAGCCACCACACCCAGCCTAAGAGCGTCCCTTTGACCTGAAAATGTCAGAAATAAATTTGTCACCTTTTATACACACACACACACACACACACACACACACATACATCTTTTTAAAAAAGAAATTATTTAGTGGATTTTATTATATTTAACTTAACATTTGCTGAACACAATATACTGAAGCTGAAATTAATTACAGGAGGGCTACGTGACGAACTACACATCTATCTCTTGGAAATCTAATGCCATCTTTCACATTACTGAAACCTTTGAGCATGCAAATAACCCCAGTGCCAATCACTGCAGCTGGCCATGAAACTGGGGAGCCACTCTGACCCTCAGTAAGAACATAAGTGAAACTGATAAGATTTTCATCCTCAGACTAATTCTCCTCCCTACGCCTCTGGATGGTCAAGCTGTAATTATGAATTTCCTAATTTCTTCAATTTGGTTGGACAATTACTTATGGAATGCCTACTGTGTACTTAATGATCCTTGCCTTTAAGGGGCTTACAATCTAATGAGGAAGTAAGGGATAAACAGCACAATTAGAGACACAGTGTAGCATGAAGCATGGCGTCTGAAGTACCACATACAGGGAACAAACCAAGTGTCACTGGAGCACTGAAGCCCTCTCTTAATGAGAGCAGATTTTAAACTTTTGGAAGAACTACTGCTTTATAAGACTCTCTCTTCAGCCTTCCTTTGAAAATATCAAGTACTTTTAAGTTAGCTAGAAGAAAACAGGATCCATTTTCAAGGAGGTTTTAAGTTAGGTAGCTACTTGTATCTATTCTTCACCATCACACCTTTGCAATTTCATCTGACACCAATTTTCATCACTCACGTATAGTTCTGTTCTGAACTTTCTTTTTTCCATTACAGAACCAAAGGGGCTGACTTTCCAGAGGTAGAATATTTTTGCACTACAAAGGTGTTTGTGGTCAACTCCGAGGTCGACTTTGCAATCACTCTTGGGCATGTTCTCTCATAATTATGGGGTAGCCTGGACTGATGTACCTGCAAGAAGAATAAATGCTGTGTGATCTCCTGAACCAGCTCCTCTTCGGCATTCTCAGGATAAAATTTGGCCAGGAAGTGAAAGGTGACTGGTTCTTCCTTTGAAACATCATGCTCCAGCACCTGCAGAATTGCAGAGCAAAAGACAAACACACTGTATTGGCACTTCTTCCTCCTGTGCTACCCTCAGAGAAGCTTTCTCAAGGCGTGCATTAAATTTTTTTCCCATTAAATTTATCACCTTTCCCAAAAGTTGTGATGCTACAGTTTGAAGCATTCACAAAGTCATCTATAACAAGAGGTAATATTCACTTCCCATGGTGTTTCTGAATCAAATTAATCAACAGCCCCAAGAAGTCAGCAGAGCTAGAATTAAGGCATAAATGTTCTCAGGGCCACAGAAATCGTTAAAAAACAGAAATTTATCACTCTATCTTGGGCACTGTCCTTTATGGTAGGCAGAAGGTGTTTTCATTATCTGAAGTAGTGGAATCTTCCTTTATTCTTTTTTCTTGCTGCCTACTGTCAACATTTAGGTCCATGTTGGAATATAGCTTAGAGGGCTGGGCACGGTGGCTCACACATGTAATCTCAGCAATCTGGGAGGCCAAGGCGGGTGGATCACCTGAGGTTAGGACTTTGAAACCAGGCTAGACAACATGGTGAAACCCCATCTCTACTAAAAATACAAAAAAGTAGCTGGGTGTGATGGTGGATACCTGTAATTCCAGCTACTTGGGAGGCTGAGGCAGGAGAATCTCTTGAACCCGGTAGGTGGAGGTTGCAGTGAGCCGAGATCATGCCATTGCACTCCAGCTTGGGCAACAAGAGTGAAACTCCGTCTCAAGGTAAAAAAGAATATAACTTAAAAATTATGAACTAGATCATTATGAAATCATCTAAACAGTGGCCAGGTGTGGTGGCTCACACCTGTAATCCCAGCACTTTGGGAGGCCAAGGTGGGCAGATCACGAGGTCAGGAGCTCAAGACCAGCCTGACCAACATGGTGAAACCCCATCTCTACTAAAAATGCAAAAATTAGCTGGGCGTGGTGGTGCATGCCTGTAATCCCAGCTACTCAGGAGGCTGGGGCAGGAGAATCTCTTGAATCCGGGAGGTAGAGGCTGCAGTGAGCCAAGATTGCACCACTGCACTCCAGCCTGGGCAACAAGAGCAAAACTCCACGTCAANTTAGAGATGATGAACTAGATTGTTATAAAATCATCCAAACATTAAGTAAGCAATAGAAGTAAAATGTGTTCACCATGGCAACTCTTTGTTTCAAGAAACCTCCAGAGATGCCCCACAAAATACTTTGAGTACAGTCTGTAAACACTGCCTGTAATCTTCAAACAATTCCTTCCACCCCTGTAAAGCTTGAACCATCTGCTCTCCAGAGTGAATTTCAAGACATAAACACGCCATGTGACAGGCTACAAGGCTCCATTAACATGTGTCATAATGTATTTCCTTTGAGCAGCAATTCCATGGCTCCTGATGCCCCCAGTCTAATAACCATTTGGCCAACACTCAGCTATGATTAAAATTCACTTTGCTAAGAATCATGAAAAAGATACAAAAAGTTTTGCTGTTTTTGACACATAACTCCATGCTTCTGTCCAAATTCTAGATGGCAATGCCAAGGAAATTCAAAATCTGGTCTATGACACCCTCACTGACAACGGCACCCAGTGGCACTTAGATGCTCACGATCATTGGGAATTACCACTGAACTTACAACCAGCAGGGATTCCAATGTGAAGATTTAGATTACCGTGTACATATGTGAACACAATTTAAACACTTAAGCTTTGAGTCAAACTAGTAAAAAAAAAAAGAAAAAGAAAAAAAGGGAGGCTTTCATTGTTTATCATGCTCAGGTAGGCAACTGCTGGGGCCACAATTTGGGGTAAGAATCAGACATTGACTTGTTCCCTTAGGCAATTTCCATTTCCAAGCCACACTAAAATTGCCAGGAGCCCAGTTTTCTTTACCATGCTTCAGAAGCTCCTGAGAATGCTGAGGACAAAATGGACATTCTTTCACCCTGGGGACCAGGCACTCTCTATTTCTTAGATAATATTAATGATTAATTCATGTTGGACTGATGTTTCTCAAAAAGACTTTTAAAAATTCCCTAAAGAACACAAGCCCCAATACTCTCTCAAAGACATAAATTGGTTATTTTTAAGTATAAGAAGATAACAGTAATTTTTAGTTATAAAGTGAAAGGCATAAAGCCAGAAGCAATGAGGCTGGTAACAGTGGGTAAAGAAGCCAGAACCAGCAACAGTCTAATCCTGGTAACTTCTGCTTGCCCAGGAGAGCCTGTGAGGAGTAGGAAACTGGCAGCATCTGCAGGTCCTGCTTTCTGCATGACTTAATTCAGGAATGTGCCCCCTTCTCTACTATACAGCTACAGCGCCCCAGTGATGAGCTAAGAGCCTGCTCAGGGAAAAACTGGAAAGCACACGTCAGCCCCACCGGTTTCTCGAGTTCCAGCCCAACCTTCTTGTCCATTTTGAGCCAGGCCACTGTGTCCTTGATTGTATACTGCAGTCCAAAGAACCAGGTTTCTCGAAGCCCCAGCGTCCGGCACACCAAATCAAATAGGTCCTTCCCTTTCCACTTCATCTGCAATAACAAACCAATGGGGAAGGACACTGTGAGCAAAAATCATAATCCACTTACACAAAAACCTTTTCTCTGCACTCTCCACTCTCAGATTCCAAAACGTGGGGATGACACTAAGAGAGCTGATGAGGACTGAATTCCTAAATAATTTTAAAGCTTCCCTCACAAACCCTTGAGTGGGAAAATACCAATTAGAGCTTAATGGCTTAATCACTGCAAAGCATACACAATATCTCCCTTGGACAGTTCCTCACGGATCTTAACATCCCCAAAGCTGCTAATTTAGGAAAGCTGGTAAATAAGCATCCTCATTTAGGAGAGTCTAGCCTCTTAAGTTAACCCGGGGAGATGGCCAGCTTCAAGGCACATTCATTTCCTTTAAATTTTTTTTAATCATGAATTTGCCCTTTGATAAAAGGCTAGTGCTCCTTTAAATTAAGACAGGTTTTACCACAATTTTTTTTTCTTTGAGACGGAGTCTCACTCTGTCATTCAGGCTGGAGTGCAGTGGCACGGTCTTGGTTCACTGCAACCTCTGCTTCCTGGGTTCAAGCAATTCTCCTGCCTCAGTCCCAGCCTATAGCTGGGACTACAGGCATGGGCCACCACACTCAGTTAATTTTTTTTTTTTTTTTTTGTGATGGGGGTTCACCATGTTGGTCAGGCTGGTCTAAAACTCCCAACCTCAGGTGATCCGCCCACCTCAGCCTCCCAAAGTGCTGCGATTACAGGTGTGAGCCACCACACCCAGCCTAAGAGCGTCCCTTTGACCTGAAAATGTCAGAAATAAATTTGTCACCTTTTATACACACACACACACACACACACACACACACATACATCTTTTTAAAAAAGAAATTATTTAGTGGATTTTATTATATTTAACTTAACATTTGCTGAACACAATATACTGAAGCTGAAATTAATTACAGGAGGGCTACGTGACGAACTACACATCTATCTCTTGGAAATCTAATGCCATCTTTCACATTACTGAAACCTTTGAGCATGCAAATAACCCCAGTGCCAATCACTGCAGCTGGCCATGAAACTGGGGAGCCACTCTGACCCTCAGTAAGAACATAAGTGAAACTGATAAGATTTTCATCCTCAGACTAATTCTCCTCCCTACGCCTCTGGATGGTCAAGCTGTAATTATGAATTTCCTAATTTCTTCAATTTGGTTGGACAATTACTTATGGAATGCCTACTGTGTACTTAATGATCCTTGCCTTTAAGGGGCTTACAATCTAATGAGGAAGTAAGGGATAAACAGCACAATTAGAGACACAGTGTAGCATGAAGCATGGCGTCTGAAGTACCACATACAGGGAACAAACCAAGTGTCACTGGAGCACTGAAGCCCTCTCTTAATGAGAGCAGATTTTAAACTTTTGGAAGAACTACTGCTTTATAAGACTCTCTCTTCAGCCTTCCTTTGAAAATATCAAGTACTTTTAAGTTAGCTAGAAGAAAACAGGATCCATTTTCAAGGAGGTTTTAAGTTAGGTAGCTACTTGTATCTATTCTTCACCATCACACCTTTGCAATTTCATCTGACACCAATTTTCATCACTCACGTATAGTTCTGTTCTGAACTTTCTTTTTTCCATTACAGAACCAAAGGGGCTGACTTTCCAGAGGTAGAATATTTTTGCACTACAAAGGTGTTTGTGGTCAACTCCGAGGTCGACTTTGCAATCACTCTTGGGCATGTTCTCTCATAATTATGGGGTAGCCTGGACTGATGTACCTGCAAGAAGAATAAATGCTGTGTGATCTCCTGAACCAGCTCCTCTTCGGCATTCTCAGGATAAAATTTGGCCAGGAAGTGAAAGGTGACTGGTTCTTCCTTTGAAACATCATGCTCCAGCACCTGCAGAATTGCAGAGCAAAAGACAAACACACTGTATTGCCACTTCTTCCTCCTGTGCTACCCTCAGAGAAGCTTTCTCAAGGCGTGCATTAAATTTTTTTCCCATTAAATTTATCACCTTTCCCAAAAGTTGTGATGCTACAGTTTGAAGCATTCACAAAGTCATCTATAACAAGAGGTAATATTCACTTCCCATGGTGTTTCTGAATCAAATTAATCAACAGCCCCAAGAAGTCAGCAGAGCTAGAATTAAGGCATAAATGTTCTCAGGGCCACAGAAATCGTTAAAAAACAGAAATTTATCACTCTATCTTGGGCACTGTCCTTTATGGTAGGCAGAAGGTGTTTTCATTATCTGAAGTAGTGGAATCTTCCTTTATTCTTTTTTCTTGCTGCCTACTGTCAACATTTAGGTCCATGTTGGAATATAGCTTAGAGGGCTGGGCACGGTGGCTCACACATGTAATCTCAGCAATCTGGGAGGCCAAGGCGGGTGGATCACCTGAGGTTAGGACTTTGAAACCAGGCTAGACAACATGGTGAAACCCCATCTCTACTAAAAATACAAAAAAGTAGCTGGGTGTGATGGTGGATACCTGTAATTCCAGCTACTTGGGAGGCTGAGGCAGGAGAATCTCTTGAACCCGGTAGGTGGAGGTTGCAGTGAGCCGAGATCATGCCATTGCACTCCAGCTTGGGCAACAAGAGTGAAACTCCGTCTCAAGGTAAAAAAGAATATAACTTAAAAATTATGAACTAGATCATTATGAAATCATCTAAACAGTGGCCAGGTGTGGTGGCTCACACCTGTAATCCCAGCNTCCTAGCTACTTGGAAGGCTGAGGCAGGTGAATCACTTGAACCCAGGAGGCAGAGGGTGCAGTGAGCCAAGATCATGCCACTGCACTCCAGCCTGGCAACAGAGCAAGACTCCATCACAAACACACACACACATACACACACACACACACACACACACACACACACACACACAAATTTTAGGGTTTAGAGATTTGCTATGAAAAGCAAGAAGAGAAAAATAAGTTAGACCTCTGATATCTGATTGGCTTTTGCTAAAACCTGATTCCACAGGGGAGTTTTCAAGTAGGCTTTTTAACACATATGAATGAACAGTGGGTTCTCTACAAGGTACTCAACAGGAAAGCCCATCCCTTCTCTGTGTTTGCAGTCAAAGTCAAGCCGAGCAGCAACCTAGATGAAGAATATCAGGACCGCAGCAGACTAGTAGCTGAGATGCACGCTGGCTTTTACATTTTAGCAGGGCTGTTTGTCCCATCAGTCCTTCAGGCTCTGCCCTGTCTCCTCTCTGACTATAGTGGGGCCACCGGAACACTATAAAGATTGAGGTCTTTAGAGATTGTTTTTGAGAAGAATAAAAGAAAATGATGAGTTTTATTTTTAAAAGATGATCTCCTTCCTCCTTTTTAAAGCTGAGTAATGGGCACATCCATTTCCCATCTCCCAGTTTGACAATAGGACAAAGTGTTTTTCAATTCACCACAAGTTTTAATTCCTACAGGCAGACTTCGCTGAAGAAATGTTATTTTGGAAAACTAGAAGCTTCACGATGCTGATTATCCTCTTGTCGCTATTTTAAGGCTGCTCCAGTATATAAATTATAAATGACTACCTTGCTACAAGATAATGTAACACTAAAGAACAGGCATTAACTCAGAAAAGTTAAACACCCAAGGGCTGGGAAGATCAAGGTAACGATTCCCAATCTGCCATAACTCATGGTCATGGCTGGGCCAGGCTTTGGCAAGAAGGGGCTGTCTGCAAGTGGGATGCGCAGTGCATAGAAACAAAAGCTGCCAAGGGAATGATGAGTGAATTTCCTGACTTGGGAGTTTAAATTATCCAGCATAAAACTGTATTAATGCAGTTTTCCTGTATTCCCTTCCACTGTTTTTAAAATGCAAAACTGTCTTTGTTGAAGGCAGAAAGACAATGTATTTGTCCCCTTGGCACCTGCAATACAGTGAGGAGAAATACATAAACTCTGACACTAATTCGGAATGTTCTACTTAGATTAACTTTGACATGAAGAATCATGGACTGTCAAGAGCTGGAAATGAGCATGAGTAATTACCTAATGTAGACTCATCCTCTTTTTGTGCAAATAAGGAAACTAAGTCACAGGATTCTTTGGCAGCTGCCAAAGCACACACTGGCCTCTTTCATGGTGATCTAACATAGGCACACCGCAGACCCTAGAGTGCCTCTTTTCCTGTTCTGTGGGGTCCCTTTGTTCTTGCTGTCCAGCACTCCCTAGACACCTTTTCCAGTAAGTAACCAGTGTTTGAAACAAAATCCATTCTCAGAAGAGTCAGATATTGCTCATTTACAGCTCAATGTGAATTAAAGTCTCTGTTAGCTCCCACTTATTCTTTCAACAAGTATTACAGGGCACATCCTACACGCCAACCAACGTTAGACACTGATGCTACAAAATGGTGGAAGCAGTGTTTTGCAGGAGAAACAGGCAAGACCTAGGTCAGAGAACGCTTTCAAGAGCTGGTGAGAGTTAGATGTAGGAGAGAAGGAAATGAGTCTTTTTTAAAAATTACGCTTTTTACAGGAAACTGCAAGTCATCTGGAAGAGCTGAAACAGATAGGAGGTGGCATGGTGGGAATGGGGATCCATGTGGGACCAGGTGGCTCAACTTCAGGCAAAAGCCAGAGAGTCTTTGAAGACCCTTGAGCAGAGGAGTCATAGGCTCCAATCTGCGTTCTGGATGCGCTGTGACAACAGGGTGGAGTAGGAGTTGAAAGGAGCCCTGGATCAAGAAGGCCAGAAAGTAGGCCAGCCCTTGACATAGGAAGGCAGTGGAAGGGAGAGAAGGCAGCCTGAGAAGAAGAAAAGAGGCAGAGTCACAGAACAGAAGCAGAGGAGATAGAATCAAGAGGGACACCTGTGTGTCTGGCTTGAGTACCAGGTGGTTTCACTAAAGGAGAGATGGAATGGAGGAGAAAGAGCAAATCTGGCAGGGACAGCTGAGCAATTAAGTCTTAGACGGGATGAGTGAAGGTGCCTGTGGAAACCAAGTAAACACATGCAAACATATTTGATTTAAAGTCCTAATTCCACTTACAAAACAAA